ATGTCTGTCTGTTACGCTTTAGGGTAGTACACCCATTTCTTATCTGCCACTCTTCTTATACCACTGAATGGAATTTAATGAGAATTTCACAGAATCTTTCTTACATAGTGTCATTGTGACCTTCTACTTTACCAATAGGAAAACATTCTTTCTTTCATATTGAGGGGGTACCAATACTTATATGCAACTCCTCCTATACCACTGAATTAAATTTAGTGATACTTTCACAGAATCTTTATTACATGGTGCAATTGTGACCTCCTATTTTACTTTTTGATCTGACACTTCTTTTGGGTCTCCCATCACAAAACATGGACTTTGCCATTATAATTATATGGGAGGCAAGGGGTATCATTTTGTGAGCTAAGTGCTCACAGAACCTCTAGTTTTGCTATGAGCCAGAACACACTATCAGCAAATACAAAATCAAAGGTTTGGATTTCCTTTGTGTTTTCCAGATAAATACATGTAGTATCAAAAATTCCATTCACAGATCATCAAGAATGAGAAACTTTGTAAACTAAGCTGTTTTTAATTCATCACCTTTCTGTCACCTGTGTTTGTGTGTGTCTGTGTGTGTGTGTATCCAAACCAATACTACTTTTCTTCTAGGAGTAATTTAATGTGCTTAATAGTAAATTAATATGAAGATTTCAACTTTTATATCAGAACTGTTGAGCATTTTCATGGTAGAGAAGTCACGTACATGTACACATGATCTTTTTATAGTCACTTAACAAACAACTAAATATACCTCAGGTATTAAGTGTAGTAAAGGAAAAAAAGCTGTTAGTAATTCCCAAGATATAAATCAGTTTTATGAAAAAAGACCAATGCATGTATTTTACATAAAAGTTCAGAAAGAAAGGTGTTATGCAAATCAAAAAAGTCACTGATCGAATAATTCAATATTGTCCCCTTTAATATTTCTGTTAGGCTGGTTTATTCCTCTGTTTTTCAGGACATTAAATCATTGTTTGTTTGCATGTGGCTTTTGATAATCTTGACGAGAAGATATTTGATGCTATTTAACACATTTTTAATGTAACAATTTGAAAATATCTCTTCACATTAATAGACCAAAAAAAAAAAAAAGAAGCAATTTGATGAATTAGGGATATAAATTATAAGGCTCATTAGAGATAATCAACTTGTTAATGATATGGACATATAAAATACACAGTTTTAGTCCTAAGTGAGAAGGGTTGGGACATCACACACAAGGTAAAATTTGAAATGAAACTAAACATTCCTGATATGCTACAATTTTGCAAACAAATGTTAGGAATAGCAGAACAACCCGTGTCTGTGCGGTGTTGAAACAATGATATCACATTTAGTAGGACTAGTAACAATGTCTAATATGGTGATGCTTACTCCTTCATGACACCTGATCCTGGCTAACCACTGTTTTCAGAGGTCCATGTTGGCTATATGCTATTAATTTGTATTGTTCAAGTGGACTTTTGAGAATGATCAGTGTTCCTTACCTTCACATTTCATAGACAGAGAAAAAATGAGAAACACTATGTTAAAATTTGCCAAGTCACAATATTCAGGTTTATTTTGGGCTACATTTGCAGATCTGGAAATTTCAGAATGCAGGAGGGGGGGGGGATGGGGCACTTATGGGTTATTTACAAGGAAAAAAAATTGTTCAATGTAATTAAAATAAGAAGTTCTGAATCTGCTACTGCTTCTCTGCTTCAGAACATTTAATTTTAATTTGATTGGAAATTTGTCTAAACTTTAAAAATCTGCTTTTTAATTTTTTTTTTTGGGGGGGGGGAGTGCAAAAAAATTAGTAGGTTCAGCCTACTTTAACAAGAAAATCTTTTGAATCTGCTCAGCTGACACAGTGTGCCTGATCCTGACATGTGGACTAAATAGAGAGTATTTACAAGTTAAAGAAATAAAATGTACAAAAGCAAAAAAGCGGAAAAAATCTCAAACCTAGGGGTTGGGTGCTCGATCTGCCTTTGTTTGGGCTAAATATTTCTCCCATCTTACAGATATTATTTCAGTGAATTGATAAAATCAAAGTCCCAGTTACTGAATTAAATGCTACGTGTACCAGCTGTAACAAAGTAAATAAATAAATTACTAAAAAATAAAATTAATAATATAAAAAAAAATCAAAAGCAACTTAATTTCATATTTTAAAAAAAGCAAGAATCTCTGATTCTCAAATCAAGGGTTCAATTTATAATTTACGCAGTTTTCTGCTAAAATAATTGCATCCATTGAATTATACCAGTGCTTCTAGTGAATTAGTCATTTGAATGTTAGTTGACTGACATATATACAACTTACACATGAAAATACACAACCCCCTTAGATACGATACCCTAAAAAATTTATGATACCGACCAATATATAGTTCTTAGGATCATCGTATAAACTCTCAGTATGATATATGACATTGTCACTTGTGCACAACCGTGAGAAATGTTTTGTTCGCAATCCTGGTATTCTGCGTCTTTTCTTGGTTTTAAATTACTATAAATAATAACGTGTTAGATATACGCTCGTTTCAGTGCATAGAGGTGATATTTGGTATAAAAAAAAAATACAATTATTAAACTGTTTTCTAAATAGAGACAATAGCTTAATGAGCAAAATATTTCTGTTTTTATGTAATATATATATATATATATATATATATATATATATATCCAAGTAAAATGCATCATTTGGGAAATATAACTGTTTTAGATGTTCCCTCTTTTAGTGCGTAGAAGTTACAAGTGCATTTGGTTAAAAAATAAAGGTTAAAATGTTTTCATAATGGAGATATATGCGACTTGAGTAGCTTAATGAACAAACAGTCCAGTTTTTTTGCAATATATTCAGCATGTTTACAAGTAAACGTGCATAATTTGGTTAAAAATTAAGTATACTCTCGTTTTAGTGCACCGAGTTGATATGTGATGAATAATGTAATATCTATAAGTTTATAAAGTTTTCAAAATACAGATACATGTACATGCAACTTGTGATAGAGCTTAAGTAGCAAATTTTTCAGTTTCTTTTGTATTGTGTATATAGAGTGAAAATGCCTTATTTGGTTAAAAGCATGAACCGTGTTTAGATGATTAATTATAATACGGATGCTTGTTGGAATTTTGTTAAAACAGAACGGTGAATTTTTAAAATCGAACTACACTTTGCAGGCCCTCAAACAGTTTTAGGTCATGGAGGAACAGACTATGCGCAATATATTACGTGTATTTTTCAAAATACATTTTGTACCTTATAAACATGTTCAACTAGAGACAGAGTGTCTGACCGTCTTTTTCAGGGTTCTCCCAATTACAAAATAAGCTCTATATTTTCATCAAGTCACAGTCGTAACCCGAAAAAAGTGATTGTACGAGTTTTTGGTTTGCTGTGAATACTCATCAGCTTTATACACTTATTCGGTAAAATTTAATTTGAGAGAAAAGAATCTACTTTTTTATTTTAATAATGTATTCATTTTAATCAGTTAAAGAAGCAAATTGGTTTATAATTAATCTGGAGAAAATAGGTGTACTTACAAAAAGTGTTTGAGATTTTGTATGGTACTTGCGGAATTACAGGAATTGACGGCGAACATGTGCAACATGTTACACACATACATGTATATGCAGAATATTTACTTGGAAAACTCTTTACTAGAAGCTAATGTTTTTTGTGAATCAAAATGATTTTCATATTAGATCATATACATACGACAGAAAGAACTTGTCAGAAGCAAGAAAGAAGAAAAAAATAGTCTTTAATTATTGAGAGATTGAAAACAATTGTTTTCAGTCGCAAACTCTTTAAAAAGGTATACCTTTGCAAAAGTCTAGTTAAAGATTTTTAGACGGTTTTTAGTGCAGTTCTAATACACAGAAATAAAATATGTCCACAAGCTGATATTTGCAAATTAGTCACCTACATTGTACATATACATGTTGTTGACCAATTCGCAAAGAGGAAACCGCGTTACCTGCATTCTTGAGGGAGTTCGTTTGTTCAAATTCTCCAATTTTTTATTTACCACTGTAAATCACCTGCATTAATCTTGGAAGAATGTTTAAATTATTGGACCATTAAGTGATCAGAAAGAATGAATTTGAGATCTAAACATTTGTCTAAGGTCAATTGTTCCGCTGACACTAATCTCACCTGCTACTGAAGGGCAGTTTACACCACTTGAAAGAATCGGATGCGTTGGTGTCAGAGTTATGTCAACAAATTGGAGAGGGTCGTTTGGTCGCATTATTCAGTCCAATACACTAAAAATATCCGAGGGAGGTAGTAAAGTACACTTTTAATCCATGCGCAAAGCATTTAGGTTAATTCAATTAGGACATTCTTCTCTTGGAATTTTTACTGAAATGAATACAAAACAGCCTTTGATTTGATATCTCGAAAATTCCAAGTTAATGTCTTTTTCAGCACTCTCCTCTTTCACAAACTATATATATATATATATATATATATATATATATATATATATATATATATATATATATATATATATATATATATATCTATATATGTATCTATATATATATATAGTTAGTTAGTTAGTTAGTTAGTTTAAGAAAAAATCAAATTTTTAGTACAGTTAAATATCGATAAATTAAGATTCACAAGACTCGAATAGTCATTATAACTGTTAACGCTTTTTGCCTTTTAATTGCTCTTCAGACAGTTACAAAATGAATGATAAATTATATATATATATATATATATATAGAGAGAGAGAGAGAGAGAGAGAGAGAGAGAGAGAGAGAGAGAGTAAAAAATATTAAATGTTATATATTTTCTCTGTATTATATTGGAATAAAAAATAAAATACATTTGTATGCAATAAAGATATATGTAAATGTTTCCGCAACCATAGTATACATGTACATGGTATGGTAGCTAAAAAATGGCATATACAAAATATTTATCCTACACTCCTTTTCATTGTCTCACATTTGTTTCATGTTTAGTAATAATCTCTCTTTTTATATTTTCAGCATGGGTTGGATCTGTTTGTACAGGAATTACTTTTTTGATGTGCATCTTTGCCAGCATTTGTAGTGACAGAATTGGTATCAGACCAACGGCTTTTTTCGGCGCGGCTTTAGGCGTGATTGGACTCTTCTCTAGTGCTTTTATTACAAAACTGGAACTTCTATATCTAACGTATGGCCTGTTTCTTGGAATTGGGGGAGGATTCATCTATTCTCCCTCTTTGGTCATTATTGGACACTATTTCAAAAAACACATGGGCATTGTGAATGGAATCGTAGCTTTTGGAAGTTCAATTTACACAATAATCCTGTCCATTGTTCTACCTATTGTCCTGGAATCGCTAGGCATCAAATACACTTTCATGATTCTGGGAGGATTATATTGTATGCTTCTCTTATGTTCTTTAACATGGAAGCCGCTTTTTCACAGAGAAACCAACCTCCCAGAACTAGCATTATCCACAGAGAGCATTGTGAAACATGCTAATGACTGTTGCTCATGGACCAGAAAGTACCTAAACTTGAAGATATTCAAAAATCGAGCATATCTGATTTGGTTTTTGGGACTTGCTGTTGCGCTATTCGGGTACTTTGTACCATTTGTACATTTAGTAAGTATAATCTCATGCATGTATAGCCCGTTAGTATAAGTCAATAAAACATCTGTCATCGGAAGGGATGTAAGATGCTCTTGAGCTATCTACTTGATTAAAATATATTATTAATGTTTATAAGTTAACAAAATGACGAGAAAGAAGAATGATATTGACTTTAACTCCCTGTTCTGTAGGATAAAATCATGCTAGGATGACTCAACTCACGAGATTTGGTCAAGTGACCAAATTACAGATGTAATTGAAACGTGTCAGCTGTTATCGGACTGATACATGTACATCCCTAACAAAGGTACTCTAGTGAACTATAGTTTCCCATAGTAAATCAAAGTTTTTACTACAGTATATCAAAGTTTTTACCACAGTAAATCAACGTATTTTTACTATGGATTTTAAATTGTTATATTTTAAGTTCTCCAATTCAAACAGGCACATATTTGATTTTAAACGGAAATATAATTTGTATATTCACATATCATTCCATATTGAACATCACTGGTATTTAATTTGAGAGATTTTAAGTTTTGAAATCACAAAAAAATTAAAGTTTCATAGTAAATCAAAGTTTCAAAGTATATACTATAGTTAACTAATACTAGCCAACTTTTGTTAGGGATGTTTCACATTTTTTTTCTGATGCATTGTTACATCGCCCCCCCCCCCTTTTTTTATATCTCGCATGATCCAATGTAAGAAGATGGGTGAACATGACGAGCGAAAAGCCTATAGTGTGACAAACATGTAGGTGAAAAATAAAATTTCAATTATATAAAAATTTTCCTTGATATTTCAGCTAACATTAAAATATAATTTATGTAAAATCTCTACAATTTGCAAACATCCTTCAAAGATGGAAATTATTTGCCTATGAAATATTATAAACACACTAAAGCGGGCAAAAAGAGTCATTTTCTCATACTATAACACTATTTTTCGGTATGAGTGGGTCATCGCTCCACTTTTTTGAAAGTTAATCCTCAAAGTTTGCATAAAAATACATTTTTTGGTTACCAAAAGTATGGAGCAAAGACCCACTATACCTTAAAAATATACTTTTATGACATAACATTCGCATCTTTTCGAGAAATACTTGAAGTCCATTAAGTCAAGGGTCATATCACAAACATGATTTACAGTAAATGCCACTCTTCATCAGGACTTGTGTAGTCTAGTGGTAAGCGTGCTAGTCTCGAAAGAAAATGATACTCAGGATTTTTATTGCTAGGTTTCGAACCCCACAAATACTACATTATTTTTTAAATAAAAGTATAAATTTTGCCGAGAAAATTTTCCTCAGAAAAGTTTTGTTTATCATAATTTCATAGATTTCAATAATGAGAACTTTGCTCTAAATACTAAATTCACAAATTGAACATGATTTTTATATATCTGAAGCTATAGGCTTTCTGCACGCAATGGTCACCCATCTCCTTTCAATGTGTTCTGGTGTAATAGGTATTTATTGAAATCTGTTACCACTAGATTGAATGAAGTGAGATGCGTGTCAAATGGATGAAGGGGTCATGCCCTACATATTGTTTCTTGTAGATAACCTTATTAGCGGGGCTGATTTATTAAGTTGAATTCAATTAAATATAATTGCTTTGATTTTTAATGTTCCCTATTGTAGCCAAGGACTTCTCAATGGAGGATTCTGGGAAAAAATTATTCTTACCGATCCAAGCTCTGATTCATGTTCAAGGAAATTCATTTTTAAAAGAAGAACATTGAGTAGAAAATTGACTTAACTATGAATATATGCCATTTGTTAAAGTTCTTGTCCGAACAAGACTTTGGCAAAATAAAAAAAGAGAAAGTCGAAGTTTATATATGACACAGAATTGCAGCATGTACGGATTGTAGCTTTTAAATTATTTTCAAAAAGTAACGGTTTTAATGAAACATGGAACAACGTCACATTCTAATTGATTAGAAGATCTTTTCTTTAAAATTTTGTGATGAAAAAATACAGCATGAACGTGCATGTCAGGTATGTAGTATCGTTTAAAGGGGGATTCCGAATAATTGACAAGTTGAACCTAAGTGAAAAATCTGAGACAAAAATTGATTACACTACAAAAAAGTGGGGGGGGGGGGGGGGGGTTGGGGTTGAGGCAACCTCCTTTCGATGAACATTTTCATTCTCACTCAATAGTAAAACATTATGTTTGGAAAAAAGTGGGGGGAGGGGGTCCTGCTACTACGTGCCTGTTTGCATAAATACTTTGTGGCGTTAGTGTATATTGCGATAGGGCTTATCATAATTTAGTTATAATCGATCGATAGTGAATCAGTACACGTCTTGCTAAGTTGGGATAATCAACAATCCTGGAGTGATATTATCATTACTCTGATAACGGTCAAATTTTGTCAATGACATTTTAGATACAACTTTGAAATATGTAATACATGTACTATATTAAAACGGGAGAACGTTTTAGTTAAAGTTAAATGTATTGTAAGGGGGAAAAATATAATTGGTTTAAATACTAGTTAAATTTTTAGTGCACCATTTTTCATAGTCTATTTATTATATTGAAAATAAAGTTTTTGATTTTGGAAGTACAAAGAATAATAATAATATCAACATAAATTTTATAAGAAAGAAATTGCACTGTACATGTACCTACATGTATATGCTTTTTATAACTCAAGGTCATAGGATACCTAAAATCCAGTTATTTATCAAAGCTTCTTTTTTTTTTCGTTTTTAGATTCAGAATTTGTTTATGGTGAAGCATGGATTTTTTTTCATGATTTTCAGTGAAATTTAAGATAGATATGAATGTATAAATTTGGTGAGAATGAAAATAATGGTTTGATAAGAAAATTTCATGGTGAATATGTTTTTAAGCATAATAATTTTTAGCCTGTACAAACCCTTTTTTTGTTCGTTTGTTTTTTTTTAACCAATTTCTATGATAAATTTTGTTGAGTATCCTATACTCTTTAGAAATCATTATTTCAGCGATTGACTTCCATATATCATAATTTTACCTGATGTAACTTTAAAATCAATTGTCAATTTAACAATGTTTAAACGACAGAAAGATAACCTAGGAATTCTTGTTGTGATGAAATATAGAAAAGGTGGGGGTTATTAAGTTTATATGTTAAAAAACAGGTCTTAAGCTTTAGATAATGATATGGTTTGTTACAACATGCCTTGTAAGAGAAATGTGAGTATTATCTAGGTCATGGCCATTGACCTGATTGCATTTGTTTATGTAGTCCTGTTTAAACATACTACAAATTAATTGTGAAGTATCTGAATACTCAGTCTAGTACTCTTAGTCGTTACTTGATTATGATTTTTTGTACTATTTATCTTTTTAATTTAGGTCTAGAGTTTTGATAATATACTTGGTTAAAGTTATCTTTACTTAAACGTACTATTGAAAACACTTGGAGATATAGTTTTTTTTCCATACATATATGTATACATGTATAATTCTTTCATGTTAGGAATGATTTCAATATACATGTATCAAATATCAGTGATTTTGAGAATTTTTGCAGTTTGGAGAGCACCTTCAGTAGAATTAAATTTTGCTTGTAAATCATAAACTTAAACAATTTTACAAAATTTTAACCACATATAAATTTTTACCAAATACCAGTTTTTAGACCCTTGCAGTTTTTATTTAATTATTGAAATATGAGAGAAACAGCAATAAGGTATACCGTATGCAATTTTTTAAAACTCGATATTGCAAAAAAAAAAATCAAATTTGATAGCTACAGTGTATTATCTGTAAGAAATATATATCATTTATTATTGTAACTAGAGTTAACCGGTTGACGGAGGAAATGAGGGTACAGTGTATCTTCAAACTGCAGAACAAAGCAGATGCTATACATTACTGTTTAAAATTCAAAATCCCGAAATGCTGCCAAATAAATGTGTAGCGAAATTAAAGTAAGATTTTTTATCAAATATTCTCATTTTAGGTTAAACATACTCAGGACAACTTCCCCGGTTCAAATGCCTTTATTTTGATCACATGCATGCAAGTGACTTCTGGAGTCGGACGAATCGTCTTTGGAAAGGTAGCGGATCTGGCATTCGTGAATAGAATCTACATGCAACAATGTGCATTCGTGGTAATGGGCATAGTAACAGCATGCATTCCTTTTTCTGCCAGCTTTGAAGGTCTCATAGCTATCTGTCTCATTCTTGGAGTTTGTGATGGTATCTTTGTATGTTTACTGGGTCCCATTGCATTTGACATTGTTGGTCCCATGGAGGCTTCACAAGCCATTGGTTTCATGCTCGGTGGATTTTCAATTCCATTTACTGTTGGTCCTCCTATTGCAGGTACTTGTATGTAACTTTTGTAAATGAAGACACTTTAGGAATAACAATTCATTAGGAGATAAGTGTTAATTTCTCAAAGAGTAAGATAGAGTATATTTAATGCCAATTCTTATCTCCAAATAAGCTTATGCGACAGTAAGGTGTCCGTCGCCTGTCTTCAAGATGTTTGATAGTCTGTTTTTAAACGATTTTGTTAAACTATACTCATACAGCAAATTGATTGAATCCGTTTTCAATAAAACTGGATATACAAGTAGTACACTAAGACACACAATTATAGATATCGGTTTTTAGTTTGGATAAGAATGCTGTGGATACTTTTGAAATAGTAAAATATGATTTTTAAACGTTACTCCTAGAGTTTTAGTCTGATTCCAGAAGAACTCGATTCACAAGTAGACTATGTGAAGATACATGCAAGCAATTCATGAAATCAGTTTTTCATTTTTGTAAGCGATGTTGCCATGGTTTCAAAAATAAAAAAAAAATCTTGAAATTCTTTTCAAAAGACTATAGCAGTTGTGATGCCATTTCAATAAAAATTTGTCATTTTTTTTATTTCGACATGGTAAGTGAAAGACTTGCTAGGACTGTAGAATTAACTAAGATTGATAATTCTCTACATCGGTCAATATTTCGGCGAATGGTATTGCCATGTCTCAAATAGAAATTTTTGTGTAGAGCTTGTAAACCACTCACAAAAAAAAAAAAAAAAAAAAAAAAAAAAAAAAAAAAAATTGAATACATACCGCAAAATGGGAAAGATTCTGTATATCGATTTTTAATTTACAAATTACCATTGTTACTAAAATTAGAATAATTTGGAATTCTTTCCAAAGACTATTTCTTCTACAGTTTTGGTTTTAATTCAATGAAAATAGGTATACAGGTAGCCTCATCTTCGCTAGGGTTTTCGGTCCACTCCACTCACCACCGAAAACCCTTGGCTAGCGAAGATGAGGTAGCCTAATCCAAGGCCCACAACTTTATTTATAGATATTGGCATAGGTGTAGATAAAAGCACAATTTTTGAAAAATATCTTTTTAAATGCTACCTATTATACAGTTTTGATATGATTTTTGAAGATAATACATTTACTTCTTACAAGTTTAGAAATCATTAGGATAAATAATTCAGTAAATGTATGAAAACAAAAGTTTTAACTCCAGGTGCTGCTTTTCTATTCTTTAGAACTTTTGATCATCTAAAATAAAAAAAAATGATTTTTAATATATTTTTGAAAATAATAATTTAGAAAAAAGGAAAAATGTAACGAAAGTCTTTTAATATACATTTAATGTATTAGTATACAAGTATGTTACTTTCCAGATTTAAAGAAAGAACATGATTATTGCGCGTTGGCCTGGAATGAAAAAATAAATCCTACTCAAAAGGAAATTTTCCCACGCAGTATCGTAATGAGATCATTTTTGCTAAACTTCATCATTGTAGGATTTCTCTACGATCATCTACACTCGTATGAAATAGCATTTGTAGCTGCTGGTGTTCCACCTATCGTAGGTGCGATTATGATGTGTCTCATTCCTAGAGTCCAACAGGTAGGAGGTTTTTATTAGGACTCAGTAAATCTGTAAGTTGAACTCATGTAAAGAGCTGTACCAAATATCCTTCCAAGCTTATCATAGGGAGGAAGATTGCAGCACTTCTGAATCATCGGAAGTTTTTGATACTTTTTAAAAAGATTAAGGTCCTCTGAGTAATTGGTTTATTAATGATATGATGGTAATCTTGCATTATTTTTGTAAATGTATGAATGAATTAACATGAAATTGCAACTGCACATGGGAATTAAATGTTCAAATAAACTTTGTTACAGAGCTACCCTGCAGCAACAGAAACACACACATTTGCTTCGATCTCCATGTTAGATGTCTACCATGCAAGTACAAGTAGATCAGGTATGATATACAAATGTATATACTCTACAAGTTGTAGAAAAGAAAGTGTAGAAAACTTGTCATCACTAAAACTGATGACGTAATACATGAGAAATTTTGGGAATTCTACTAGATCTCAACTTCTCTATTATTAGGGTCCTGCAGCAACCATAGATTACTATATGTCCTTTTTTTCAGTTAGTTGACTTTTATGTGATGCAATACAATGTAGTTTGAGTAACTTTCAATCGATAGACTTTCTGTATACTACTTATGGACAATATTTTGAGGACAGTTTTTAGACTTAATCAAAATCAGTATGGCTTTGTCAGACTTTTAGTTTAATAAACTTTCTAAAAGAAACAATTCCTTGATGATGTAAATTATTTTTTGTTTTAATGTATTGTAACAAGTAAATTTATGTAAATACATATTTACATTGGCCAGTGTTTTGTCAATAGAGGGCAATTCAATTCTATTCAATTATTTTATTATATTTTCAAATCTGCATTGCATCTTGTTTGATCTCTGAAAATTCTTTCCTGTCCTTATTTCGTTGTCCTGATCTTAAAAGCTATGGTTACGTGTATTATATCGACTAGGAAAAGAGATAATTTAAAACCAGAGATTCGCTTACAGTAACTGTGAGGTAAAATATGTATATATAAGAGATACATATTTCTTCATGGATGTGTTAAGTATGAAATTTATCGCGTAGGTTACCCTTTCCTGCGTAACTATGCAAATTATCAGGTACTCCCATGTTCAATGTTAGTTATTCTATTCTCTCAGAAACTTGAAAAAGACAAAAAGAAACAAACAAAGAAGCAAACAAAAAGAAACAAAAAAATCAAATTAACAAACAAACAAGACCCCTCCCCTCCCCCAAAGAAAAAGCTATAACAAACAGAAACGACAAAAGCAGTTTTTTTTACATATTGGTATTGATATACCAATATTAAAATGATTTTGGTTTTGTTTAAGGTCAATTAAATCAATTGAATCAAGTAAATGGTGTAAAAGGGCACTCCGGAACTACCTCCGAGCTAGAAGTAGTACGTATTGTGGAACTTCCAGATCCCACCGACGTAGAGGAAAAACTTTTAGATTCACAAAACAACGATATTAAATTCAGGAGAAAAGGCTCTAAAACATCTAATGAAAATGATGATGACACATCGGAACAAGATAGTGAATCACTTTTAGAAAAAGAGTCAAGCAGCTGATAAGAGATGTATGGTTTTCAGGTTAGAGAGTGCTAGTGATCTTAGTACATGGATGTTCAAATGTTATAGAATTGTTAATGTGAGAGAGGCTTATTGAGTAGATTGGTCAGAATATACATGTATACATAAGTCATCCAAGATGCCAAAGGAGGTAACTTTTACATACTGTTTAACCATAAAGATGTTTAGCCTAGTATTTCACACATAAAGACCCAAGGATGAAAACATTAGGATTCCAGTATTAAATCGTAATGTTTTTTCAGTGATGTTTTATGAAAAAGTAATTTTAAAGTAATTTTACACTAGGCAACGAGAGCCAAAATTCAATTTACATATATGGTGTTTATTGTGTATTTTATCTTACAGCAGGTCTGATTTAACATAGTTATAATATGTGTAAAACTGTGTTTTCATTCAGGGCATGAAAATGTTATTATGTTTCAAGATTTTAGAGTTGTTGACAGTTTAAAAATATAAATGCACAAACAAGTGTATTGCACGTTCGTTCAATAAATGACTGATAAAACAGATAAAATTGTATTTCAGCCTATTATTTATATTAATCCTGCAACCACCGCTTGTACTGACCGAATGAAGGTAACCAAATAAACCAAAGCTATATTTAGTCAATGCCCTAATAAAGCCCCGTGCATTCCGACGTCTTTAGAAGCAATGAGACGGCATATATATTGCAATGTATGCACGATAGCGTCATAGTTTCAGCTACAGAGATGTGCCTAAACTTAATTGTTGAAAATAGCTCATTTTGGAGGAAAAATGTAAAATTATGTTGCAGAATAAACAAAATACATGATATAAGCAATATCTGGGCTCGGTTCGAAAACGTGATAGAGGGCTCGGCAAGCCTCGCCCTCTGTCGATTTTTCTTACCTTCGACCAAATACCGCTTATATTTCACGACAGTAACCATGTACTTTGTATGTACATGTATCTAGCTTGCATGCACAAATGCTTGGAGAAAGTAGAGTTAGTGTTATGAAAATGAAGTTCGGTGGTTTGAAACGCTCCAGAAAAAAAACATTGATATGCATTCTCTTTGTAGTTCGACAGGCTAAATCATTTCAAGTTCTTTAGAGAAAAGAGTTGACGAGTTAAGAGACAGAAAATGTATTACATTTAGAATGAAATATGGAGATAACGAACAGTATTCAAGCTCATAGTCCATTAAAACAATACAAATCGGGAGCAGAACAAACACGGACCTCTAAAATCATCAGAGGTGGGATCAGGTGCCATGGAGGAGTGAGCATCCCCTGCCGACCGGTCACCCCCGCCGAGTACTACTTGTCATGATCGGGAAATAACGGAAAAATCCGTCGACAATTCTGTTTGTAAATAATGACCTTACAATTAGTATGAAAAATGTCAGTCAGCATATGACTTAATGTAAAATTGTATTTGCTGATAAGGTCATTGTATCGACCATAGAAATACGAAATGATGAATTTAAACGAGACTGTTGATAGTTTTGTTTCATCAACTTGTTTGTCAATAACTTACCTCGTTTTAAAAATTGTTCATACGTAGAGCATGCTCTTGCGTATCGAATCATCTGAGAGATACACACCCCATATGCAGGAGATAAGGGTATATTGCTGCATAAGTAAGGGAAGCTGACAATTGAAAAGTTAAAGTCATCACGTTTATCATAAAGCTTTATTGTTAGATTACCATTAACGTCCTTTTTCTAGTAAAATATCCAAATATGAAACAGATGTGTCAGACTCTGTGGTATCTTCTGTTTCAAGCTCACTGGGATAAATCATGTTGACATATGAATGTAAATAACTATTGTTAATAATAATACGTCAGTCGATATACAAGGTACATGTAATTAAATTTACGACTTTCATTTTTATTGAAAAAGCAGCTGTCAATGATGTCAAAAAGCATTGACTTTAATTTATAGTAGGGAATGGTTGTATACAGAGTTGAAAAGTCGCAAGTTTTCGTTATTGATTTTGGTAAAATTTTGATTTCAAATTTTCCAAAAATTCCATAGAATTTTTAAGCATCCACATCTGATTTACAAAACTTCTCAAATATATTGTTGCACAGTACTCCTGAAGTTTCTCCTTCACTGCTGTTAATATTTTAGTGAGAAGTAAAGAAAGAGGTTTGGTAGAACATTTACTGGAACCCGCTATGTATCTTTGTTTGTAAGGATTTTTATGAAGTTTTGGAATCCAATATAAATATGGTAATTCAAATTCATTTTGGTTGTTTGGAATATTAAAAATATTCAAAACAGACATATGATTTTGAAGAATTTCCTCCTTAGAGAGGGAGCTATGAAATGTAAAAAAAAATGCAGCTTAAAGGGAATCGGTTTTCTTACATACAAATTAGTTATATTGAGATGTTGAAAACGTTTACACAATTTTCCAAGGAGCCTCTATTCACCAATAAATTGTTTTTTTTTTATTTTGAGAAAATTAAATCAAATAAAGATGTAAATACTGAGCTTATCTATTTCATTTTCAACGTAGGAAAGGAAAAGCTCGGAAGTCTCTGGTTTTATCCTACACTTTAAACCTAACCGGAAGTTGATGTATCCTCTGTAAAGTCTTAAAATGTGTTTAGATAATTTTTGAGGAAGAAGAAGGTATGGTTTTAGCTTTACTGTGCCCTAAAAATTTAGTGTTTTCAAAAAGTTTTGAAACTGGCTTAAATATTAGTTGAGTATATGACTGTAATAAATCAGGAAAGAATATAGCATGATGGAGTACCATTCTGGATATATGACTTCGTTCATTTGATGCATTTCTCTATTTTAAACAGAAAAAGCCTCAAAATGACCCATTTCAAGGGTTATTTTCTTTAAGAAAATAGTGTCCACAGCCGTCGCCCACGTTAATTTTTAGATATGTTGTGTAAAATTCTTCGAAAAATCACATATCTCAAAATCTTTGTGGGCGATGCCTGTGGACAATATTATCTGAAAGAAAATTCCATTGAAAATTGATGTCTTCTGCAACTTTTTAAGAAAATACGGGAAAATGCACAAGTTTATGACGTCACAATTAGCATTTGGAAGGTCATGTGAGAAAAAAGATTTGTATGATCTTTCTGCATGGAATTTCAATAATTCAAAAAGCATGCGTTTTAATTTTTTACAATCACTTTCATTTTTAAGAAAAACACAGGGCAAGATTTGTATTGAAACCGTACCTTGTTCTTTGTGGTTTCCAATAAAGAGCCTCGACGAAGGACGTCTGGAACGATTCATTAGAAAAGAAAAGTATTTCGAAGCGAACTATGTACATGTATTGCTAAAGAAGGTTAATGATTATTTAAATAAAATGCGATTATTTGAAGTTGGGGTGTCTGAAATAGAGGTAGGTAGCTTGTGGAAAGAAAAAGGGGATGTCCTGTACACAAACCAAGTGCCTGTGATCTGGACACGTTTTATTTCTCTGTGGCCTGTTTTAACGTTTTCTATAGCTTGGTCTATGCCAGATTTTCCAGGCTGAAACTTTAAAAAATAAACTGAGGAAAAGACATAACCTCCCATCTTCCATCATTGGGCATTCTATGTAAGATTTACAATAAGAATTCATAGATCTTACAGAATGAGGTAAAAAAATGGAATTTTTCCGGAACAATTTTGTCACACCACGAAAGTGAATCAACTTGAATTTTGCATTACAAATGCTCATATATCAACAAATTTTTCACTCCATTAGACTGGGGTAGAAAATTCGTCGTATTATGAGGTTGCGCCGCATAATCAAACCTTTGCATGAAAAAGCAGTAAAATTGATTAAAAAATTGAACTTATAATTTATAGTTTATTTTATGGATAGAAGAGATATTGCTAACTAAAAGTGTAAATAAATTCATTGATGGGCCTTTAATGTTATGGCGTCAGTCTTCGATAACCCCTCGTATTTATGTTTTTAGAATTTAAAAACAACTTTATTTACATTTCTGAATGTTTAAAATGTCATGTTTTTACATAATTTATTGCATGAAGCGTAATTTTTCCAAGAATCTTGAGTCATTTTTTTTATATGTGTAAGATTTAATTAGTTGATGCACACACAGCTGAAAAGGTATTTAATTAACAGGGGTTGTTTTGCAGGTACATGTATGTTTACATTTCATAATGTTTGTTCTGAATTTTTCTTTGTCGGTTATCACTTGCAAAGTAAGATATAATTTAGTTTATTGATTTATGATATCATATTATGTCAGCAGAATATCTCCTGTTAAAATAAATAAAAAAAGATAGTCATATGTCCTTTCCTAAATATCCGAGAACTCGGTAAACAATTGATGGTCGGATATGGGCTTATTTATGTATACGTCTTGTTAATACTACTAGTACATTATGTTTTTGCTTAGTCTTTATTATGTAAATTCATATATTTTATCAAAAAGCTTAAATTTTTTTAACCATTATCAGTTTGGGGAGCACTATCAAGCAAAAATTCCTTAAAAAGCAAGGCCATAAGATGTTATTATTGTCGGGGCACATTCATTAAGTAGCTATGTTTTATATATATATATATATATATATATATATATATATATATATATATATATATATATATATATGTCAAATTAAAAATTATTGGGGCCCAGGGGAGGGGAAGGGGGGGGGGGTCTTGCGCGCATGCCGCCCGTTCATGTTAATTCTACAGAGGAAGATATGATGTTAAAAATATTTTATAAAAGGAAAATAGTAAAATTGAAATAAAAAGAAACATACCAAGATTTGATATTACCACTAACATGGTGCCAAGAAGAATGAAATTGAGACTTCCAAGAAGTTAGGGCACGTTGTTACGCATCAATATTGACTTAGGGCACACCATTTAGCATCTTCAATTTAATGTTTTGCATGCTTTATCAGAGAATATTCAAAGGGAGGTTATTCAATGTCTTTAAAAATGAAGTCTACATTTCTTATCGTTTTAATACTTCGATTTCTTTTTAAGCTTAATAACATCTTAGTAAACCTTTATATTTTTATTTGAACACAAAGGTGTTATTAAATATTCTACAAATAAAAACCATTGAGAAGTACTGAGAGCATCAGGATTCTAGTGTTTAAGAGTAACAATTATCAGTTAAGTTTTACCAAAAAGTAATACAATAACTTTTTTGTTTCGTTTTGTTTTGTTTGTTTGTTTGTTTTTAGCGAAAAGTTTTCAATTCAAGTACATGTACTGTGAATGTTATTTTTGTCTGTTTATCTTATGTGCAGCTTTTAAAAAATTCTCTAAAATAATGTGGAAATTTGTTCTTTTACAGGGAATTACAAAATAACTAAGGTAACCAATTTATGTGGATATTGTCATTGTGTGTTTGTGACATTGTTATAATATTTAGCTCTGTAAGAGGAGAAAAATGGATATAGAAGACAAAGCATAAAAAATATGCTTCTGAAATTTTAGCATAGAAAATTTCATATCTCGTAGTTTGTTTGTTTGTTGTTTTTTTTTTTTTTTTTTTTTTTGGGGGGGGGGTATTTTTTTGTATGAATCCATAGTATATATAATGATTTGT